ACCTGAATTCAGTTCCCAGTACCCATGTCAGGCCATTCACAACAGTCTATAACTCCAGCTCCAGGGGATCTGATACCCTCTTCTGGTCTCTGTAGATACACACATTGGGAGTATACTCACACAGACACATACACATAAATACATTTTTAAAACAATTTTTAGAAAATCTCTTTTCACATTTAGAAAATAAATATGCAAGAGTTCAACACAAAATTTATAACAGTAGAAGAAAGAATCAGAACCCTTGACAATAGATCAAGTGAGATTATTTCATCTGATGAATGAAAAGCAAACTAGAAGTAAGAAAAACATGAGCAATCCTTGTGGGCCCATCATATATGTCATTAAGTATAACAGGAATCTCAAGAGAGAGAAAGGGGGAGAAACTTTGAATAATGACAGAAAACTACTTAAATTTGTTGAAAAACATTAATATACACATCCAAGAAATTCAACAACTCCAAGAGAGATAAAGCTAAGGAGGGCTACCTTAGCATGGTAAGATTGTCTGAACGTTTGTGCCCCTTATCCCTCCAATTCCTACAAAGAAACCTAAGGTCCAGTGTGACCGTATTTGGAGATGGGGTTCTTTAGAGGCTGTGAGAAGAATGTTTTTATAAAAGACACCCCAGAGAGTTACCAGCCCTGTATAAGGACACAGCTGGTAGGTGGCTGCCTACAAATCACTGTAAATATCTCTTTACCTTAACTGACAATGACTTTTCTTTTCTTTACTTTTTTTTTCAAGACAGGCTCTCCCTCTGTATCTAGGCTCACTTGGAACTTGCTATGTCACCCAAACTAGTTGCAAATTCAGGATCCTCTTGCCCTCAGATCACCATGCCTGGCTGACAGTGCTGTTTTAATTGGCATCATCTATACCAGGCTGGCATTAAGTCTGGCATTAGGCATGGTGCATTTATTAACATATGCATTTGAATTCCTTTAATAATGTTTGGGAAGTTTTGGGAAGTTTCTTATTTTTATTCTTCCTTGCTTTCTCATGGAAAGCTCTTTCTGTGCCACATCAAGCCATGCACACCTCTGAAACAGTTCAGTCACACAACCTCTACCAGCTAGGGACTCATTGTTGCTCGGCAACCATTTATTTTTGCTTTCCTTATTTCCTATCTTTTCCCCATTGACTGCCAGTCCTTCTTAGGCTCTTCAAATCCTTCTCCATCCACCTTTTTTCTTGATAAATAAATCATAGGCTTCGACTCATCAGGAGATGACTGTAAAGAGTAAAGAGATTTATCAGGTGTTATGCAGCTATTTACTTTAAAATTTTTATTTCATGTATATAAGTGTTTTGCATGATATAAGTGCACCTGTGTCCTGCAACACCTGCAGAGCCCCTGGAACTGTAGTTACTGATAGTTGTTTTCCACTAGATGGGTGCTGAGAACTGAACTTGGGTCCTACTGAGCCATTGCTTAGCTTCCTGGTGTTATGCAACTGATTCATGACAGTGTCAGCACAAAAAAACAGGTTTTCTGACCCACTACAATGGGGCCATGTAGGTGGGCTGAATTCATTTTGAATCTTGTGTTTTATAAAGGACATCCTCTGTACTAGTTTGCTGTGGTTATAAAATAATTACCAGAACAGTTTACACTGGCATTTATTTTCTATTCCATACTTCTGTGTCTCATGTTTTTGTTTTTTAATCTGTTCCTATAAAAAATAAATCTGTTGGAGGTGGGGAGGGGGAGGACAAGAAGCAAGAAGTGTTGCAATCGAAACTAACCACAGGGGCTGGAGAGAGGCTCAGTGGTTAAGAGGACTTGTTGCTCTTGCAGAGGCCCCAGGTTTGGGTCCCAGCACTTACCTCAGGCAGCACACAGCCATATATAATCTTAGCTCCAGGGGATCTGACACCCACTTCGGGCCCCTGCAGGCTCTTGCACATACATGGTACACATACATATAAAATAAAAATAAATCCTTTTAAAAAATCAACCACACTATTTTTAAGAAGCAATAATTATAAATTGACTCGATGTTTAAGAATACAGTTCAACTCCTTTATAGTTTATGTGCTTGTTATGTTTCTGTAGTAAGCTTCAATGGAACTGGACACAGTTTTCTATGCCCAGGCCAAATAAAAGCCAGTGAGCAAATATTACATGGCTAAAATATACTAGTACACTGAGTCAAACACATTGTGCTGGATAGCTTTAGTGTCAACTTGACACACCTGGGTTGAGGAAGCCTCAATTGGGGAATTGCCTCTATTGGACTGGCCTGTGGCCATGTCTGGGGGATATCTTCTTGATGAGTGATGTGGGAGGGCGAGGGCCCAGCCCACTGTGGGTGGTGCCACCCATGGGCAGGTGGGCCTGTGTTGAATAAGAAAGCAGGCTGAGCAGGGGCCAGGGGAGCAAGCCAGGAAGCAGCGTTCCTCCATGGCCTGTGCTCCAGTTCCTGCTTCCAGGTTCCTGCCCTGAGTTCCTACCTTGGGCTCCCTGATGAACTGCAACCTGGGAATTGTAAGCTAAATAAACCCTTTCCTCCCCAAGTTGGTAGTGGTCAGAGTGTTTTGTCACAGCAATGAAGAAACAAACCAAGACACACATGAAATGTTAACATAAATATTTCAAATATTCTAACTCCTGGGGAGAAAATCACTCTTTTAAGTTCCTTTGGCAGAAAGCTGCAGGTATCTTATTTTTAATTTTCTACACCATCTCCAATTTAATATTCTGATCATGTTACAGAGTGTGACCTAAACAAAGACTACATGTTTTCACTACCCTACTTTCACAACAAATGAATCCGTAGACTTATCTCTATGGTTACATTTTTTTGCAACGTACACTGAAATTTAATATGTTTTCTTGTAGCCTTCCTTTCCAATACATTAAGTCCACAATGAGGCCATAAACCAGAAAAGGTAAAGAAGCAGAATTCTACATGTGATTAAAATAAACAGTAACTATGACTTTGCTAACAGTTATTTGCCAAATTCAAATATGGATTTTCTTATTAAATCTCATTTTCAATATAGTCAAATGTCACATATTAAACTACATTATACAAAAGAAACTCCAAATTATATTTTGAAAGACAACAACATTTTAAAGTTTATTGCTATTTATTGTCTCACATTTTCTACAGATTGTATTGTGCCGTGTGATACACAATAAAATATATCATGACCTCCAAGTCGCCTTCCATGCTCGTAATCGTCTGTGACAGTGGTATCTTGCTAGCATCTTGGAATAAAACAATATGTAATAAAAAGAAAATAAAGATCTAATAAGATCATTTTTAGAGTGTGTGCTTTTTGTACAGAAGGAGGGAGAAATGTCAATGCAGATATGTCAATGCAGATATATACACAAATGTTTATAATAAAAATTGAAGCCAGGTGTGGTAGTGCACACCTTTAATCCCAGCACTCTGGAGGCAGAGGGAAGGCAGATCTCTGTGAGTTTGAGGCCAGCCTGGTCTTAATAGTGAATCATAGTGAATCCAGGCCAGCTGTGGCTACAGGGAGATCCTGTCTCAAAGAGAAAAAAAAAAAACAAAAAAAAAATTGAAGGGTGCTGAAACAGAAGCATATTCATTCATCCTTTCTTGAGGACAGAGTCCTGATACTTTTTACTTTCAATGCTGAACACAATGACAAGCACACAGTAAGATTTAGTATATACTTGTCAAAAGAATGCATGTGTTCATGAACAAAAATTGTTATGGGAACATAGAAGAGGAAACATTTGGCATTCCGTGTTTAATGGCAGTGGGTGGGTTATAGCGGGAAAACAAGTTAAAGGAAGAGGTGTGTTAACAGAAACTGATGATTTCCCTTTATTAACTATTCTCTCCTTCACTTACAATAATAGTTCCCGATTTTAGGCTTCCACATTTCCCAACCTTCTTTGTTGTTCTGGCGAATGGAAAGGAAGCAAAATGATGTATGCATCTTTCAAGTCCCATTCTTGAAGGGGGATGGGCATACCTTCTTTCCCCTTTCTCCCTTTCTCACTGTCTGGAAATGGGCCTGGGATGAACCATCTTAGATTAGCCTGACAAAGATATATCCTTTGGATGCAGCTCCAAGGGGATGTCTGGGTCCCTGACAACTTTGAGCAGGAGAGCCATTAGGCCAACAGGGTTTGAAGTGAGAATTTTTTTTTTCCACTTCTCAGTAGTAAGATGACATCACCACAATACATTTGTATTGTTTAAATCCTTTGTTTTTTTGAATCTGTCTCAGTCACTAAATTTACATTCCAGTTTGCATTGAGCAGTTTACAGGTAGACACTGGAAGAGGGTTTTCAAGACTAAGAGAAGTCAGAGGTGGTGATGCAGGCCTGGAATATCTGTTAAGATATCTGAGTTGGGGGGCGTGGGTAAAGGAAGGGAAGGGAAGGGGAAAGAGAAGAAGAAAGAATGGAAGACCAGAACGGAAGCAATAGTATGGAACATACACACACGGTAATGGAAGTGTAGGCAAGCTTAAAGATGCCAAGCAACTAAGATGGAAAAGGAAGCAAGGACCAGGTACCCAGAAGGCCCTGCCTTTCTCAACGTTTGGATTTACCCTATAGCTAAGCCACTGTGGCAGGTGCGCAGGAGGATGGAAGACTTAAATATTCCACCACTCCTGCATGCAGAGCAGGGGTAATCAATCTAGAGAGAAGGAACAGAAAGATCAAAGGACTTTTCCAAGCCAGAGAAAGAGGTGGTTGCGAGAATCTTTCGAACTGTGGGCTTTGTGCTAATTGCTTTAGGATCTCCTGGGTTACCCCTATTCCACACTCAGAATCCAGCTGCTGAGTCCTGGAATTTGCATTTTAACCAAGGCTTCAGCGGCGTGGCGGTTGGAAGCCACTGAACTACAGCACCGATTTTGAAAGAGCTGTTCATAAAGGCCGCGGAGGCGGAGAGCTCAGGATCTTCACCGCCACAGCCGGTGGGAAAGTCCCGAGCGCGTTGCCTGCTCTCTTCCCCCTCCCCTCCGGGTTGCCATGGAGATGCCGGCCTTGGGCTGGCTTGTGGACTGAGGAGGCCGAAACTTCTGCCTCTGGAGCCGCCGGGTCTCCAGCTGCTTGCTCTCTTGCAGCCCCACGGGCTGAGGTGGCCGCGTGGGGTCAGGTGTGACCGGGAGGAACGTCCCCGTCAGACCCCAGGCGAAGGCGCGGCCCCGAGAGCGACCCCTCAGACCCCGGGTGAAGGCCGCGCCGGGACAGGTCCTCTCAGACCCCGGCAGACCCGGGGTGGAGGCGCGGCCCCGAGAGCGTCCACCTCAGACCTCGGGTGAAGGCCCGGCCCAGACAGGTCCCCTCAGACCCCGGGTGAAGACTCGGCCGGGACAGGTTCCCCCAGACCCGGGGTGAAGGCGCGGCCCCGACAGCTGCCCCTAGTCCCCAACCCTCGCGCTTAGCCGCGGGGCCCACTCAGGGCACCAAGCGCGGCGGGCGCTGCGGCCCGCGTCCCCCCTCCCCGAACCCGGCGGGTGGTGTAGCTGCACCTGAACCAAACGGCCTTTGCGGGCCGCCGCCTCCCGGGGCTCCCGAGGACCTGTCACCGCCGCCTACGGTCCCCAAGTACAGGGGCAGCTGCATCTTTAGCCTCAGAGCCCCCGGAAACAGCCGACCCAGAAAAGGGCGGATTCACGGAGCAGGTGACCGGCGCTGCGTGGATGCTGGCGGCGGGAGGCCATAGGGCCCTAGGGTGGTCGGGGAGGACGGACAGTGGCCGAAGTCGCTCATCCCGGGGGATGTATGATATATGATGGATGGATGTAGTTTGTATGGGGTGCGCCGTGGAGCCAGCCCAGGCCACCGCCTGTCTGTGCGGCCACCTGGAAGGTAGGTGCTGCGCGTGGTTTAGCGGGATAACATTCTCTTTTCAGAGAAACGATGCTTAAGTGTCCAAGGCCACCAGTTACCCGACCATCTACTGAGTTGTAATCAAAGCCTGAGTGATGACATCAGGGACAAACATGCTGGACCCAAGTGAACTGGAGTTAATCAACCAAGAAAACATGGAGGAGATCTCCCAGCTCGCGTCCCTGGAGATGTCAGGCAATGGAGTAGCGTCCAGGGAGGAAACGTCAGCTGTTGTCTCTGAGAAAACTAGCTACCCGGACTTTGTGTACGTTATGGCAGCGAACATTTTTCAGGGTATTCAAATCGAAAAGTCGCCAGAGAGAGTTCTAATAAAGTACGGGAAGGAACCCCTGCTGTCCTGGCCCCAGTCTGACGATGAATCTTTACAGCGCTCGTCCTACGAGCTGGCTTTCAGTACTCTGAAATGTGAGTAGTACCAGCCCCGAAGGTCAGCACTGAGAGAATGACCGCCAGGCGTGCTAGCCCGGCATTGCAGGGCTACCCTGGGCTACAACGCGAGGCCCGGCGCTGCTTTAGAAAACAAAGCACCAAAAAAAGGAAGCAAGAAACTTTTGTTATGCAGAATGCGCCCAACCCCTCTCCAGCCTCAAACACATTGGGTGAGCCGGCGCCTTCAGGGTGGTGCAGGCCTGGAGGTCCATCAGTTGGAAGGCGGGAGGATTTCGAGTTCTAGGCCAGGTTGGGCTGTGTAGCCAGATCCTGGCTCAAAAAAGAAAAAGAAAACAGGGAGCCCAAAGGAAACAGGAAACAGGTCCATTAATGGGGAATGCAAGAATTCAGGATTCCATCAGCTCCCTCTCCTTATGCATCTCCATTGTATTTTGGGGTATTTGCATTTTAGTTTAGAAGTCATCACAAATATAAAACAAGGAAGACTGGGGAGAGAAAAAGGTGAAGTAAGAAAATATGCATTCATTAAAAATTGAATACCACGTGGGAGATTAAGTGTGCTTCCTGCTGGTCCAGAGGACCTGGGTTAGGTTTCTAGCACCCACATGCAGCTCCAAGTCTAGCTCTAGTTCCAGGAGATCTGAGGCCCTCTTCTGGCTGCCAGGGGCTCTTATATGCATGTGGTACACATAAACTCAAGCAAGCACACACATTAAAAATAGAAAATAGATAAATAAAAACCAAATGCCAAAATTAAGTTGACCCCAATTAAGGTTATCCAATTCTTAGCCAATAGCTTTAATTTGGAGAGCCAAACTTAAGTAGAATTCTCCTTTCTAATTTGCCTCCAGAGTGCCAGACTCAAATTTTCAGAGCTCTTCATAGTAGTTAATTACCAACTTCTAAGTGTAAGGTTGACTCCATATAGGAAATAACCAGGTATGATTATGAGAAGAGCTGTTAAAGATCCTAGAGTTGATTTTTACACTAATCACTACTACAAACTATACTGATTTGTAAAAATAAATGTAGGTCCAGAGAAACAGTTCAAAATGTTTGGAGAATTGGCAACATGACTAAAATGAGAAAATGATTTCCCACAGAGATACCTTGGAAGAGGCCAGGACACATTTCTTTGATTTCCTTAGTACTACTAGGGTTTGCACAGAGGAGGCAGTAAAAAATTGTCAGGCAAATTAAAATGCCTCTTTTGGTTATTAGATACACATATATCTTGTGTGCAAAGATGATACAGCTCAACTCTGAAGCCAGGAATTTGTCATCACAGAGAAAAACATAATGTCTAGAAGCAACTACTCTTCCGTTTTCAACTCTTGTTTTCTTGTGTTCATGAATTTTTAAGTATTGTCCTACCCCTAACCATTTTTTCCTACTTCAGTTTAAGCTTTTAAATTCTGTTTCATCTCCCACCCCTTCCCACCAATTGCAGTGTTACACTAAACACAGTGAGTCAAATGAACATTTTTACATTTTCTTCTTGCAACAGTGAAATGCAGCTCCAGAAGCTATGTTGATTAATTGGTGTTTAATAGTAATCCTAGAATTCAGTCATAGGTAATTCATTTTCCTAATAGAATATTGAATCTTATCTTTAGAAATCAATAATAAAAGCTTGAATTTTTCTATGTAAAGTAATTCAGTAACTACTTGATTGTTTTAGTACTAGCACCATAGAGAGTTGTAGATTATTGTTCTCTTCTACCCAATACTATTTTCTATGAAAATAGAAAATACTATGTAAGTGTCTTGTGACTATTTGATTTTTTCTTAATGACTCAGAAAATATTATTTATTTACTTATTGAGACAGGGTCTCACTATCTATCCCTGGCTGACTTGGAACTCCCTATGTAGACCAGGCTGGCCTCAAACTCAGCAATCCAACTTCTTCTGCCTCCTAAATGCAGGGATTAAAGGTATGTGCCATCCACTCAGTGACCCAGAAAATTTTACTCCAATAAATGATTGCCCTGTGCCTTTAAAATCCTGCTTTTACTTATTTATTTACTTGCTTATTTTTGGGGTCTTACTATGTGGCCCAGTTTGTGTAGCCCAGGCTGGTCTCAGACGCATCATCTTCATGCCTCAGCCTCTTGGGTGCTGGGATTATAGGACTGTACTACTTACTACACATGGGTTATCATTCTTTATACTATTTCAAATTATAAAACAAGATGGTTCTGGTTGTTTACTTGTTTACTTCCTTTAAATTATCATCTGAACAATTTCTGGATATTTAAGTGGAGTAAAATCAGAATCCTTGGTTCTGGTGGTATGTTTTGGTGAAGGAGCATTTGTTCAGCCTATGACTGGCTTTAGGTTTGTTTGCCCCCAGTGTATTAAAAAGCAAATCGGAGTTCCAGTGTAGTGAGTTTTCCAAGATAAAAGCCTGATAGTTTACTTTTAAAATGTTTTAAGTTCTGCCGTCTTGGTGGCGCACACCTTTAATCCCAGCACGCAGGAGGCAGAGGCAGGCGTATCTCTCTGAGTTCAAGGCCAGCCTAGTCTACATAGTGAGTTCCAGGACAGCTGGGGCTACAGCAAGACCCTGTCTCAAAAAGACCAAAAAAAAAAAAAAAAAAAAAAAAAAAAAAAAAGAGAGAAAAAAAATGTTTAGAGTTCTGTGTATTTCATTTTAACTTCTAAATATTACACTCTAAATATTTTAGGTTCAGAGAAATAGGATTTAGAAAGCAGCACTTCTCTAGGTCTTAAAGAGCAGTAAGGCTGTAAAGGTTATATACAAACTAAGGAGAACTTAGGTACTTCTCCCCTCCCCCCCCTTTGTTTGTGAGTTTGTGAATAGGTAATTAGATTCTATTATATTTTCTGGAGAAAGTAGATGGGAAAACACCACAAATCTCTCACTTCTACAAATATTAAGTTTATTTCTTTGACCGTGTTTTATGCTTTTCAGTTTTATTGCTTGTTTCTTTGTTGATATCCTTCTCTGTGTGTAAGCTCTTTCAAGCAGAGAGTATATTTACCTGATTCATCTTTGGTTTAAAGGGTTCAGTATAATGTTTCTCCAGGTACAGACTACCACTAGACCTGCTTTGCCAAACAACCCCAAGGTCAATCTGCTAAACAAGATAGAGTGACTAATAAAGTCTGTCCCCATAAAATAGAAATTGAGAAAGGTTTGACTTCTTTCAAATTAGAGTTTAAGAAAATTACTTTATTTTTAAAAGAATCTTTGGCTGGTGGTGGTGGCACACACCTTTGATCCCAGCACTCAGGAGGCAAAGGTAAGTGGATCTCTAGAGTTCCAGGCCAGCCTGGTCTACATAGTGAATTCCAGGCCAGCTGGGGCTACAGAGAGACCCTGTCTCAAAAAAGAAAAAAAAGACCAAAGACTCTCTGCAAGCATCAAGGACTATAGAATTTTTTAAAAAGAAGGGGGAGCCAAGTATGATAGTGTGCACCTTTAATCCTAGCACTCAGGAGGCAGGGGAGGACTGCCACAAGTTCAAAGTCAGCCCTTTAACTTTGAAAAATAAATAAATAAATAAATAAATAAATAAATAAATAAATGAAAAAAGAAAAACTTATGAAACAATCTCTTAAGAAATAGATGAACAACAAATAAAGGTTAAAAAAATGTTTGAGGAGGAGGCTGGAGAGATGGCTCAGTGGTTGAGAGTCCTGGTTGTTCTTGCAGAAGACCCAGGTTTGAATCCCAGCACCCACATGGGAGCTAACAACTGTCTGTAACTTCAGTTCCAGGGGATCTGATGGCCTTTTCTGTCCTCTGCAGGCATTGAATGACACGGGTTGCAGTTACGCATATACAGGCAACACATTCATACACA